TCACAGCAACCTCTAAAACTGTTGGGCTTAAGTGATCTTCTTGCCTCAGCCTCGCAGAGTGCTAAGACTACAGGTGTGAGTCTCACCCACCTTGGCCTCGTCTCACTTTATTCTTTTTTTTTTGAGACAGAGTCTCACTATGTCATCCTAGGTAGAGTGCTATAGTATCACAGCTCACAGCAACCTCAAACTCTTGGGTTCAAAATATTCTCTTGCCTCAGTCTCCCAAATAGTGGGACTGTATAAAGATGCCTGCCACAATGCCTGGCTAATTTTTTTGTGTAGTTGTCATTGTTCTTTTGCAGGCCCGGGCCGGCTTCAAACCCACCAGCCCTGGTGTATGTGGCCGGCGCCCCACTCACTGAGATATGGGCACTGAGCCTCTTTTCACTTTCTTGATGATTAGCCCAATGACTATCATTTATTCTTCCCACATCCCTAAAGGTAGGTATCATCATTCTCATTTTTATTTTATTTATTTTTATTATTGCTATTTTTAATTTCAAATTAATATGAGGGTACAAATTTTTAGGTTATAATGTTTTCACTTCCAAGGTAAAGTTCAAGTTGTAGTTGAGCCCTTTATCCAGGAGCATGCTGAATACCCTCATATTGTGCACCTTAGCTGAGATCCTACCAATTGCCCTCCCTCCTAACACCAAGCGCTCTCTCCCTTCCCCCTCCCCCCCTTGCTAGACTATATTTATATTTTATCATTCATGTAGGTGTATAATTATTTATATAGTGGTTTCATATTAGTATTGAGTACACTGGATATTCTTTTTCCATCCTTGAGATACTTTACTTAGAAGAAAGTGTTGTTTCACCTCCATTCAGGTAAACACAAAAGATATAAAGTTTCCACCTTTTCTTATGGCTGAATAGTACTCCATAGTATACATATACTGTAATTTGTTAATCCATTTATGGGCTGATGGGCACTTAGGCTGCTTCCACGTCTTGGCAATTATGAATTGAGCTGCAATAAACATTCTGGTACAAATGTCTTTGCGGTAAAATGATTTCTGTTTTTCTGCGTAGATACCTAGTAATAGAATTGTGGGATCAAATGGAAGGTCAACTTTTAGTTCTTTGAGGATTCTCCATTCTTTCTATTAAGGTTGTATTAGTTTGCTGTTCCACCAGCAGTGCAAAAGCGTTCCCTTCTCTCCACATTCACGCCAGCATCTGCAGCTCTGGGACTTTGTGATGTGGGTTAATCTCACTGGTGATATCTCAGGGTGGTTTTGATTTGTATTTCTCTGATGAATAGGGATGATGAGCATTTTTTCATGTGTTTGTTAGCCACTCACTGTCATCTTCAGAGAAGTTTCTGGTCAAGTCTCTTGTCCACAAAGCAAGGGGGTTCTTTGCTTTGTTCTTGTTCATTAATTTGAGTTCTCTGTAGATTCTACGTATCAGACTTTTGTCAGAGTCATAACATGCAAATACCTTCTACCATTCTGAAGGCTGTCTGTCTGCTTTGGTTGTGGTGCCCTTAGCTGTGCAGAAGCTTTCTGGCTTGCTCAGGTCCCTTTATTTATTTTTGGTGATGCTATATCCCCATTTTTAAAATGGGAAACTGGTGCTCAGAAATGCCAGGAAGAGTTGGAGGTGGGCTCCTGATGGCTTTTGAAGAAGTGCTCTTCCGTCTACCACCCGCCTCCTTCCCTCTACCCACTCCTCCTGGAGTGCTCTCCCTCAATACTGGGCAGGCTGCTTTAGTCAGGGGAGAACCCTATGACTATAAAGTATTCAAATACTGACTGAAGACAAAAATACACAGCATTCTTTCACTCTGACCACCACTTGTTTTCCACCATCGAGAGGCTATAGGTTTCTCTAACATTAGGCAACGCTTCCACAACAACAAAAAGCAATCAGTGTCACTAATACAGGCTCTTCATTCATTTTTTCCCAACAAATATTTACTAAGTGCCTCCTATGTACCAGGAACTGTTCTGGATACCAGTGTTATAATAGTAAACAAAATACAGAAATTCTTGTCTTTCCCTTCAATGTTTATAGTGGAGACAGAAAATAAAAAATACAAATGAGCAAAACATGTAGAAGGTTTGTGACAAGTACTAGGGAGAAAGAGGAAGCAGGGAGACATCAGGAGGGCTCTGCCCTTCTTTCCATCCACCCTTGTTTGTTGGGGGACCTCCGCCTATCTCAAGGGATCAGAGTTATCTACAGACCTGTCCCCTGACCTCTAAACTTGTAAATCCAACTCCCTGCTCAGCCTCTCTGCCAGGCACCTCAACATTCACAAGCCCTGCACTGGGCTCCAGACCCACACTCCCTCCCCAGCCTTCCCCTGTAGCCCCCCACACCTCCTTCTCCCACAGACACAGCAGCCCCCTGACTCCTCTCCTCATACCCCCAGTCTCTGCACCTCCTTCTCCCACAGACACAGCAGCCCCCTGACTCCTCTCCTCATGACCCCACAGCCTCCCGCATCCCCTTCTTCCACAGACATAGCAGCGCCCCAACTCTTCTCCTCATCCCCCACGGCCTCCTGCATCTCCTCCCACTGACACAGCAGCCCCCCCAACCCCCAACTCCTTTCCTCATGCCCCACTCAGGAAGCAAATTCTGCAGTCTGCTTTCAAAGACATCCAGAATCCTACCACTTCCCACCCCTCACCTACCATGCATGGTGGAGTCTACCACTACCTTGAGTTTAGGTGACCCTATTTCTCTCCATGATCTCCTAGCAATCTATCTCAACAGAACAACCTGGGGGATCCAGGTGTGACAGTGCTCTGTGCACACCTGCCTGTGGCTGCCCATCTCACACAGTAAAATTCAGAGCCCTCCTGTGGCCTAGCGGGTCCCCAGGACCTCATGCTTGGTGCCTTCCTGTGGCCATCTGCTCACCCTGCGGCAACCTCTGTACTGCTTGTTCCTTCTGTCTACAACACTCTTCCCCAGGGGCCACATGGCTCACACCCTCACTCCCCTCAGGTCTTCACTGAAATATCTAGGTTACCAACCTTGGTGATAGGCCAAAGCTCTCACATTATAAGACTCTTTCATAATTGCATAACTGCTCCTAACTGTGTGTCCGCAGCATAACTACTCAGCCACATGTATAATCGTTACTATATCTCCCCAGAGGACTGCGAGCAGAGGCTCCCATTTCCTGCTCACCGCTGAATCCTCAGCACCTAGCACAGTGCCTGGCACTGTGGGATTCACTGTGGGTGTGGGGCCCATCAAGAGCAGACCAGCTCAGGTATCTTCATAGGCAACTGACCTTCAGCTGGACCCCAAGAATCTATACCAGCTTCTCCTCACTCTCATCAACCCTAATAACACTGCTTGAATAAGTGAATGGATGGACGTGTATGCTGTGCCTGGCATAAGTGAATTTAGTAATAATAGCCTGAAGTACTATCTTGAGAAATGGTGCCCATGATTTTATGAGTAATTCTGGGGTGTCCCTCGTTGGGCCAGGGGCATAGGAGGCACACAGAGCCCTGGCCTATGGGATTACAGCAGCTGCCGTGGAGGAAGGGGCTCAGGTCCTACAGACAGAATGCCCCATGGGGGGCCCAGTACTGTGCCTTTTTTGCTGTTGGACTTAGACAGGTTATATATCTCCTCAAACCTCTTTCCTCACATACAAAATGCTGATAGTATGACACAGCTCAGAAGACCCAGCACGGACTGCAGCTGTTACTGGGCCCGATGTGCCCAGCACAGGAAGGAACCCATCAACATGACTTCCTTTCAGTCACCACTGAAGCTGTTTTAGACTGTGGAAAAGGCCTCCGGAGTCTCTCAGGCTTGGAAAGTCAGGCTTCCGTCATGCAGACACACACACAAATCCTGGGTCCACTACTTACGAGTTTTTACTTTGGAAAAGGTGTCCAGCTTCTCGAGCCCTTCAGATGACTTCTCTAAAAAACTCCACCAAGTCCACTTGCAGAGCTGCTCTAAGGATGATCACATAGGCCAGGCATCCCTCATCTGAGAATCCAAAGTGTGAAATGCTTCCAAATCTTCTGGGTGTTAACATGATGCTCAAAGCAAATGCTGACCGGAGCATTTCGGATTTTGAATTTTTGAATTAGGGATGCTCAACTAGTAAGTATAATGCAAATACTCCAAAATCTGAAATCTGAAACACTTTTGGTCCCAAGCGTTTGGATAAGGGACACTCAGCCTGTGATGTGTGTGCCATAATCAGGATGTGCCAGGCATTTGGAAGCTACGAATAAGAATGGCCGCCAGCCCACAGAAGGGAATGCTGAGGAAGACTCAGGCCTCTCCTGGCTCAGCTGTCACCCCGAGATTCAGGCAGAGCAGCCCCTACCCACAGCTCCTCATAGAGACACAGCAGATAAGCAGGCATCCTATCTGGGGGTGGTCTGGCTGGATGAACAGACCAAGGACACTGGTGACGCATCATGAATGTTCCCCTGCACGTGCAGACTATATGAAGACCACTGCGTGGTTCCTTAGCGTCCACTGTGTGTCAGAAACTGCTCTAAGTCACGGGTCGTCTAGTATCCATGGTGATAGGAAGCACATGAACCCAGACTTGCATTTTGTCCCACTGGCTTTACTGGCTGTGGAAGGCCACTGAGATCACACACTACACCCTGAGGCAGGCGTGTCGGCACCACAGAGAAGCAGTGTGATGGTCCAGGTCAATGCTGCTGGCGAGGGCTCCTTGAGCAAGGAGCCTCAGTATTTCCTTCTGAGTCTCTGGCTCCAGCCCACCTCCACCCATGCATAGTGTAGCAGGCCCTTTCCCAGGACCCTGCCAGTCCCCAGATGACTAGGGGGACCCTCTCACCCTGCCTCTGTAGCAGCCATTAAGCTCTGTGACAGAAAAAAAGTTGCCACCTCTCTACGCTTCCTTTGCTTCATGCAAATAGAAACACCCCAACACGTCTGGGGCTGTGCTCCTTCTCCTCTGTGTTGTATTCCTGCAAACATGTCATAAGGAAGAAACGTAGGGAAATATTTTGACTTTGAATTCGTACCTGGATATTCTTCAGTGGTAGGTTTTTCTTCAGAATCTTTTACAGGACCTTGTGAAACTTTCTCAGAAGATATGGATTCTCTTGTCTTTGTATTAGGTTCTGGTTCCAGTTTAGATCTAAAAAGGAATAATCAGCAGTCATCTACTTTACTTCCATAACAGGATGTCTTTTTGACAACAGAAAGGAATTACATGTGACCCTGACTATTTGTTGTGTCCCTCTGGACACATTTCCTTCAAGGTACTTACAAGGCATTGGCACTGCTGCCTGTAGGGTAGGAACTGTGCACACCTCGGTCTCTGCATTCCCAGCCACAGCTCGGCAACCAAAATACAGGGGGTGGGTGCAGTCAGCATGTGCTGAATACACCCCTTAGACTAGACACTACACTTAACAAGTGGGCAGTGAAAACTGCCATGTTCAGCAAACCCAGGAAACTTGGATTAAGTGTGTGTACATATATATATGTGTGTGTGTGTATATATATATACATAATGTGTATATTTTTATATATGTAATCTTTCTTCCTTTCTTTTCTTTTTTTAAGACAGAATCTCACTCTGTTGCTATGGGTAGAGTGCTGTAGCATCATAGCTCATAGTGACTTCAAGCTCTTAGGCTCAGTCCCTCTTGCCTTAGCCTCCCAAGTAGCTGGGACTAAAGGCACCCACCACAACACCTGGCTAGCTTTTCGATTTTTGGTAGAGATGGGGTCTCACTCTTGCTCAGGCTGGTCTTGAGGTCCCAAACTCAAGCAATTCACCTGCCCTGGCTTCCTAGAATGCTAAGATTACAGGTGTGAGCCACTGTGCCTGGACTATAAGCTCTTTTCAAAACAAGTGAACTACGAAAGCACACATCCTTACATTACCACTTGAAGGAAACCACCGATTTCAGGGCCAAGGCTGCTGTATTTAGCAGTCCTGTCTCTTTTCCGTGCTGTGGCCTTCTCGTCCACCACAAGGCTGGGCCCAGTCTCATCTACCCACAGAAGCCTTCTCTGACTTTCCTATCCAAGAAAGGTTCCATCCTGTTCCTCTGTGTCTGTTTTCTCCACAATAGTTATCACAATCTGTAATCTCCTCATTAATTTATTGGCTGATTGTCAGCCTCACTCCCCTGGCCAGACCATTCTGTGAGAAAGGTCTTTGGCTTCATGAGCTGTGTTTGTTGCTTAGCCCTAGATCCTAGATTAGTGCCTGGATTCAGTGTTTAATAAATACATGTTCAATGAATGAACGCATTATAAACACCAGTAAATGGCTAATAGAAAAAATTTTCAATATGGAACAAGCCTTGTAACAGCTTTACTAGAATTTACGTAACTATGAAAATTAAAGAGTGCTAAAAACATCTAGGACAAATTCCATATTGTTAGGTAGAATGACTATAATTAACAGAACATTGCGAATACATATTAGATGATATTACTAATGGCAGCTAATAGTTGCTAAGAGCTTAAGTAATGGACTTTTTAAAAGCACCTTATAAGGATAAATTTTCTTAATTCCGAAATATCCCCATGAGGTGAATGCTGGTATTAATAACCTTTCACAGAGGAGGACACTGAGGTATATAGAACTTAGCTCTATTCTTAACATAGTCAGGGAATGGCTGGGTGGGACATGACCTCAGGGAGTCCAGCTCTGGACCCCACACTCTTAATGACTGCTCCATGTAGGGTATGCTCTAATTATCATGTTCTGTGGGAAAGAACTTTTGTGCTCAAATAAGTCTGGGAAAGCTGAGTCAGAGTCAGACAGGCTGCAATAAACATTCTGATACAAGTAACTTTGTTATAATGTGATTTTTGGTCTTCTGGATATATACCTAATAAAGGAATTGCAGAATCAAATGGCAGGTCTATTTTTAGTTCTCTAAGCGTTCGCCAGATGTCTTTCTAAAAGGAACGTATTAGTTTGCATTCCCACCAGCAGTGTAGAAGTGTTTCCTTTTTTCCACATCCACGCCAGCATCTCTGGTTTTGGGATTTTGTGATATGGACTAATCTTACTGGAGTTAGGTGATATCTCAAAGTAGTTTTGATTTGCATTTCTCTGATGATTAAGGATGGTGAGTATTTTTTCATAAATCTATAGGCCATGCACCTGTCTTCTTTAGAGAAATTTCTTTTCAAGTCCCTTGCCCAGCCTGACATAGGATCACTTGATCTTTTCTTGCTAATATGTTTGAGTTCTCTATGAATTCTGGTTATTAAACCTTTGTCAGAGACACAACCTGCAAATATCTTCTCCCATTCTGAGGGCTGTCTGCTTGCTTTACTTCTATCATTTTATAAAAAAAAAACAAAATAAAAAACCGAAGTCAGACAGGCATTTCACTGCGCTAATACATCATGAACTTCCAAAAAAGCGCACCTTTTCTAAATAACCTGACTGTAAAGACTCTCTTCACAGGGTTTTTTTTTGAGAGAAGTGTTCTAAGAAATATTAACAAAAAATTTTCTGAAGTTAACTATAGTATCAATCTTTCTAAGTGTTCTGGTTACTATGGCTGAGTAACAAAACTTAGTGCTATGAGACAATGAGAATCATGCCCAGTGATGTCAATCCTTCAGTGTTTCTGGGGCCAGCAATTTGGGAGCAGCTTGGCTGGGTGGCTCTGGCTCAAGGTTCTTCTTAGGGGGTAGTTAGAAGGCGGAGGGTGGGGGGCTGCAGACATCTGAAGGGTTGACAGGGCTAAAGGATTCCCTTTCAGGAAGGCCACTCCCATGGCTGGCCAGTTGGTACTGGCTGTGGCCTCATTTCCTCTTCATGGGGCTGTATTAGTGTGTTCCTGGCTTGTGGCAGCTGGCTCCCCCTAGAGCAGTGGTTCTTAGCCTTCCTAATGCCAGGATGTATTTTCATCGTTACAAGGGGGTCATGACCCACAGGTTGAGAACCGCTGCCCTAGAGTGAGTGGTTTCAGAGACTAAGGCAGAGCCTTTAAGGCCTTTCATGACCTCGCCTCAGAGTCACACGTCATCATTTCTGCCATATTCTACTGCCCGAGGCAGCTGCAATGGTCTACTTGGGTTCTAAGGGAGGAAGCACAGACCCCACCTCCTCCTCTCAATGGAACAGTGACAACATCACCTTTTAAGAAAAACATGGGGGATGGGACATGTTTTGGGGCAACCACTTCTGGAAAATACAATCTTTTATTCTAAGTATCATAAATAAGTGCAAAGATAAAGATACAAGATATTCAACAGCACTGCTTATAACAACAAAACAACAAAATAACTTCAATATTCACCCCGAAGTGCCTGGTTTACAGTTCAAAGGTATAATAAAAAGAAGACCCCATTTGCAAGAGCCAAAACAAAAGATAACAAACTAATAAAAACTTCAGCAAAAACTATCGGTGAAAAACTGAGAAATATAATTGAATGTATAATGGAATAAAGGAAAGGATATATCATGTTTTTTGATCCAAAAAAAATATTAATTCTGTCTAAGTAAAGATATCACCAGGTTCCCCTCACCCTTAAGTTGGACAATTATGAAATTCATTTGGAGGCAAGCAGGAATGGTCGGAAAAACTGTAAACAAATATTAAACTCTAGTTAATAGTATGCAAGGGGAAGTACACGGTTTGCAATTCACTTTGAAAAGGCTAAAGGGATGTACAGAATGACAGGTGAAAGTAGTAGGTAAATAGTCAAACCCAGGGAGCAGGCATATGAGTGTTCACCATAGAATTCAACTCTGTTATATGTTTGAGAAGGTTTTAAAACAATGTGGCAGAGATAGAGGGTGCTGGAAGAATAGGGAAAACCCTAAAAACAAAATGTGGCGTTAGGGCAGGAAAAGACTGACAGAGCAATGAAGCAATAAAAAATTCAAAAACAGACTCTACTGCATTTAGATAATTAATAAAGACTTAATAAGTGGTACTGAGATAAGCAAGTAGTTAGATGGCAAAAGCATACACATATTTATTTCCTTATACTGTTCACTGAGATAAATTATACCAGACATATGTACATTATAAAAACAATAAACATAAGGCAAAAATACGGGTTAATTCTTCTATAGAACTTGAAAAAACTTCACCATGACTTTATTTCTGGAATTAAAAAAGAAAAAGGACTGATAGATTTGGCTACATAACATTTTTTAAGTTTTGTATAACTTTATTTACAAGGGTGACAAAATAAATGCACTCCAGTAACCAATCAATATATCCTAACATTCCTCTAAATATAAACACAGTTATATTCAGGCTAATTGTAATAAAACAATTTGACTAAGAGGGCCTCTTTACACTGAATATCATGAAATACAAGAGTAGGAAATATTTATTATTCACCTCAGTTAAAATACTTTGCTTCCTAATTCTGTTCTAATTAAATACAAATCTTTTATTACAGAAAAATTTGCATTTATAATTTAATATTTTCCTTCTGAAAAAGAAGACTTATTGTTTCCATAGCATCTTTGTGATACTGAGTCTTCTCATCCATCAATATGGTATATACTTCCAAATAGTAGTTTTTTTATGTCTTTTAATAATGTCTTGAAAATTTTTCATAAGAGAATTTTACATTTATTTAGATTTATTACTAGGTAATATTTATTTTCTATAGAACATAAAATCTGTATTTTTCTAATTATCACTTATAGCTAATAACTTCTAGGAATAACATTGAGTTTTATATATGAATCTCACCTCCAGAAAACTTGATGAATTAGTTTATTGTTATTGTTACATAAAAATTTTTTAAATATATTTTTGCATAACAAAATCCCATGGCTGGGGTTTTTCTTTATTAAAAAGAAAAGTTTTTAAATATATTTTTGCATAATAAAAACCCCAGTAGCTCACACTTAATAATCCCAGTACTTTGGGAAGCCACGGTGGGAGGATTGCTTGAGGTCAGGAATTTGAGACCAGCCTGGGCAATACAGGCAAGACCCCATCTCTAAAAAACAAAACAAATAAGCAACCCCTCCCCACCAAAAACCCACCCCACCGTAAGTGATAAGGGATGTTGATAGTGGGGAAGGCTGTGGGGTACATGAAAACTCTTGAGTACTTTCTGCTCAATTTCGCTGTAAACCTAAGACTGCTCTAAAAATATCAAGTTTATTAAAAAGCAGAAAAAAACCTA